GTGATAGGAACAAAGTAAAAACAGCTTGCAGATCAAAGAACCATTTTTAAAATGTGCGGCAGCTACTTTATTCTACCTGTATTGACTACGTTTTGCTTCCTTCCCCCCGCAGCCCCCACCTTTGGTTCACATCAGTTACAAATTATTTTGTCACTTCAAGCAGTATTTTACCCTGAGAGTCATAGCTGCTGATAAACTGAGCTCCTTACAGACTTAACTTTCCCATCTGAAGATGCTTTGGCAGAACTCCATTCCCTCATAAACTCATCTAGGGACTCACCTCCCCTAAGAAATACCAACAAACCTTTATCATTACTTCTCAGTCATCATGTAATATCTATTTCTCAAGTACTCCCCTTAAAAAATAAAAATAGATAATTGCTATTCTAACATTCAAACAGGATATTAAAAGCCTCTTAGATCACTACAAATCTAAAATAAGAAAATAAGAAAATGGAAAATGCGAAAGAAATTCCAGAGAAGTAATTTTCCACGTAATATGATGACCAAGACCCACAAAAATATATTTTGGAGCACAATGCAGTAAATGCTCACACTCACATATAAAACATACAGATTTCATGAAACAGTACTTATCCTCATTACACTAAAATCATTTCAGTTGCAAAATCCACTTATTGATTTTAGATCACAAACTGTGTCACCTCCCACAGTATAAAAACTCTGTTCTAACAAATTCTTACCTAAAAGTTCCCAAAAGACAGTCTTCAAATATCCCTGATTAAAAACAAAAACCTTTTTGTGGCTTTCTATTCTTAAAATAGAAACAAGAAGCTTTAAGTCAAAGAGAAAAAAGACAAAAATAAATTTTATTCGAACTACTTAAATATTAAATATTATGGTAGACATCAGATGACATTTTCACCAATAATTTCTTATGTAATTTAAAACTAAATCTTTCATAAGTATTTAGTTTAGTACATGACATAGGAGAAAATAAAAGTGAAGCCTTACCACAGTGGATTTGTACTGCCCTTTTCAGGAGACAGACTTACTTCTTTCTAATGTAGCAACACAATCCCAGGAAATGAAAGACCGTGAGAAAGAGGAGGGAGGGAACAAGGGATGAGTCAGGGAGAATCGTAATATGCCAACGAATCTGTGCCCTACGTGCACTGCAGGGCAATTAAAAGTCAGAGTCAAAACGCAAAGGAATCATCAGACTCAGGAAGAGGAAAAAAATACACGCTCTTAAAGACATATCTGAAAACTTGACATTTGTAAAAATGTAACATTTTCACAAAACACTTTTATATCATTATTTATGTGAGATAGAGAGCTAATCTTTCTATTTTCTAATTGATAAAACTGAAGTTCAAAGAAGTTAAATGAATTCCCCCCAAAACACAAGGCAGAGCTGGGGCCACAAATTCATTTTGTGATTTCCAATCCTGTTAACTCACCACTCTCTGGCAGGTAAAAAAAGAAAATAAAAAGCCCTATCTTGTAATTCTAATGTCAATATAAACAGTAATAAAAAATTATAATCCAGTTTAACTCTGAAAAGCTAACTGCTAATTACAATTAAGGTGTGTATTCCTAATTGAATTTATATTTCTAATTGCACCCCAATTAATCACCCCCTCCTTGTATCTCTGAACACACCTATCTCATAGCATGTAACATGCTACACATGGTTACTGACATTTATATCCTCTCAACCAGCTCTGAGCTCAAAAGTAGGACCTATATTTTATTTAACTTTTGTATACTTAGCATCTAGCATCGTGCTTACCATAACATATGCCGCCATCAAGTAAGGTCTACTGCATATTGAAAATTAATCTCTGAAGGGCTTAAAAAGTATAGAAATTAACTTATTTAATTAATCTTCACCAACTCATTGTAAATGGGCTGACACTATTAGAAACTAGACTTTATAAATAAACTGAAGGATATTCGGGGAAATGATTCATCTAAGGCCATGTAATTAGACAGTAATAAACACTCCTAGGCCATACTCCTTCTCAAGGAAAACCAAGACAAAGTACACGAACTGGTGATACCTACAAGTATTGCTCCACAGAACAGGAGCCTCAGTTTCTATTCCACACAGTCATTTCAAAGGAATTATAAAACTATATTTTGACCTCACATGATGGTGAGTATCAGTAATCAGTAATTAGGATCAGAAGCAGATTGAGAATCTTTCACATCTAAGATATAGAAATTGTAACTATATGACTAATGTCCCAGTTTGAGGAATAATGCCCATGGATAAAGTAACTAAAAACAAAATGATACAGATCCTTGTAAAGCCTCAGCTTGATGTCATTTTAACTTCTGGTTTCTGGGAGACCAGTAAGAAGCCTGGAAATTGCCACTCCACCCTAACAACAAGTAAAAAAGCTGACCAAACGGAGAAATCTGTGACTCTGCTTAGATCTGTAAGAGAACTGAGGTCACAGAGCAAACCGTTGCCCCCAAGACAGGAGTGACCAACAGGCAACACAGGGAATCACAGCTTAATAGAGGAGAAACTCATGAGCAGTAACCTCCCCAGGAACCAGTGCCTAGTTAGGGAAATGAACTGGAGCTGTCTAACTGCTGGAGGCTCAGGGTGGACAAAACTGAGAGATAAAACTTCAGACAGCCTTTCAGTTTCCGGTTCTGCATGTAAGGAGCTAGAAAGTCACCACTCTACCCAAACCAGTAAAACGCTGAACAAACTGAAAAATCCACAACTATTCGAGGATCTGTAAGTAGAGAGGTGATGGCACAGGGCAAACTACTGCCCCCAAGACTGGAGAGACACACAGAAGAATATGGGGAATCACAGCTTACCAGGCTGGGAATTGTGCAGGGGATGAGCACTGAGGTAGGCAAACCTGAACTATAATTGATGAATTGCTGGAGGCTCAGTGTGGCCAACACAGAGTTTAAAACTCCAGGAGGGGGGCGCCTGGGTGGCGCAGTCGGTTAAGCGTCCGACTTCAGCCAGGTCACGATCTCGCGGTCCGTGAGTTCGAGCCCCGCGTCGGGCTCTGGGCTGGTGGCTCGGAGCCTGGAGCCTGTTTCCGATTCTGTGTCTCCCTCTCTCTCTGCCCCTCCCCCGTTCATGCTCTGTCTCTCTCTGTCCCAAAAATAAATAAACGTTGAAAAAAAAAAATTAAAAAAAAAAAAAAACTCCAGGAGGACTCCCTCATAGGAAGACCCCTGCAATTTTGTGAGATTTACCTCCAGGAGATTAACCAGGTGCTCTCAATAAATACCAAAGAAAAATCCCCTCATGCTTCTGACAGGAGGAGGAGGAAAAAGAACTATCTTGAAATACATCAGGGTACTCTGCTTTGTCCTCAAGAGAAACTAGTTAATCAGAGCCTAAACAACCTATGGGCAGAGAAATACCCAACTCCAGCCCACTCTAGCCATCTCATCCCACCTAATGCAGGAAGAAAAACTGAGAAAAATATTTGTGAAGTTTACAGTGAGCCACAGGCTCAGTAAAAAGACTGACCTAATCATAGGACTATAAAAAATCCCTCACCTTTCCCCTAAGGCCTCTTTACAGCAGTTCCTTTCACCCAGTGCACCATGTCCAGCTATCAAGAAAAAAATCACAAGGCATACCAAAAGGCAAAAACATAATTTGAAAAGATGGAGGAAGCATCAGAACCAGACATTACAGATGTTGAAATTACCACACTGAGAATTTAAAGCAATTATGATTAATAAGCTAAGGACTCAGGGGGCGCCTGGGTGGCTCAGTTGGTCAAAGCGTCCGACTCTTGGTTTCAGTTCAGGTCATGATCTCACAGTTTGTGGGTTCGAGCCCCACGTCTGGGTCTGTGCTAGCAACATGGAGCCTGCTTGTGACTCTCTCTCTCTGTCCCTCTCTCTCTTTCCCTCTCTCAAAAATAAATAAATAACAACTTTAAAAAAAATTTTTTTTTAAAATAAGCTAAGGACTCTCGTAGATAAAAGGAGATAGCACGTAAGAACAATGTAAGCAAAGCGACAGAAATAATAAGAAGGAACCATGAGATCAAAAAGATCTGTAACGGAAATGAAGAATACTTTGATGCGCTTCCATCAGACTAGACATGGGTAAGGAAAGAATCTCTGAGCTTGAGGATATCTCAATAGAAACATCCAAAACTGAAAAGCAAAGACAACAAAGACAGGAAAAAAAGAACGGGATATCCAAGGGCTGTGGAACAACTACAAAAAGCATAAATATACAAAATTAGAATATAAAAAGGAAAAGAAAAAGAGAAAGGAACAGAAGAAATATTTAAAACAATAATGTCTAAGAGCTTCTTCAAATTAATGTCAGACACCAAACACAGATTCAGGAAGCTCAGAGAACATCTAGCAAAATAAATGTCCCCCCACCCCCCAAAAAAACCCCCACCCTACATCTAGGAATATCATTTTCAAACTACAAAAATAAAAATCAAAGAAAAAATCTTAAGGCAAGCCAGAGTTAAAAACATCTTACCTGTAGAGGAACAAAGATAAGAATTATATTGAAATTCACCTCAGAAACCATGCAAACAAGAACAGAGTGGACTAAAATATTAAAAAAATGTTGAGAGAACAAAACCCACCAATGTAGAGTTCTATACATGTAAAATTACCCCTCAAAAATGAAGGGCAAGCAAAAAATCTCAGACAAGCAAAAACTGAGGAAATGTGCTGTTAGTAGACTTGCGTTGGAAGCAATGTTAAAAGAGGCTTATTAGAGAGAAGGAAAATAATATAAGTCAGAAACTTGGATCTCCATTAAGAAAGGAAGAGCATCAAAGAAGGAATAAGTGAAGGTAAAATAAAAATTTTTACTTTTCTTATTCTTAATTGATATACCTGATAATAGTTTATTCAAAGCAACTCAATCATGTATGCGTACATATACAGTATATATATGCACATACACATATACATACATATGCATGCTTATATAAGTGAAATAAATGACACCAGTGATACAGAGATGACAGAGAGGAATTAAGATTATTTTGTTATGATAAGGTACTCACATTACTCATGAAGCAGCACAGTGTTATCTGAAAGTGAACTTGGACTAGTTGTAAATGTATATTGCAAACTCTGGGGCAAGCACTAAAAAAAGTAAAAAGAGAAATGTAATGGACATGTTAAGAAAGGAAAGAAAATGGAATCATACAACATGCTCAATTAAAACCACAAAAGGCAGAGAAAGAGTGGAAGACAAAAATGGGAACAAAGAATAAGGGCAACAAGTAGAAAACAGTAACAAATATGCTAGACATTAATCCAATTATATCAATAATCACTTTGAACTTCAACAGTCCAAATACACCAATTAAAAGACAGAGTGGATCAAAAAACAAGACCCAACTATATGTTGTCTACAAGAAACTCTAAATATAAAGACACATACACAGTAAAAGTAAACGGATGGAGAAAAATATACCATGCTAACAACTAATCAAAAGAAAGTAGGGGCACCTGGCTGACTCGGTAGGTAGAGTCTGTGACTCTTGATCTTGGGGTTGTAAATTTGAGCCCCACGTTGGATGGAGAGATTACTTAAGAAATAAAATCTTAAAAAAAAAAAGTGGGAGTATTAATTTCAAACAGAGCAGACTTCAGAGCAAGAAAAGTTATCAGGAATAAAGAGGGCATTACATAATGAGAAAGGGGTTAAACCTCCAAAAAGACATAATAATCTTTAATGTGTACACATCTAACAACAGAGTGTCAAACTATGGGAGGCCAGAACTGATAGAAGTGCAAGGAGAAATAAATTAATCTACTATTATAATTGGTGACTTTGACACCTTTCCAGTAGAAATAGACCGAAAAGTCACAAATGACATAGTTATATTCAGCAATTGGATATAATGGGCATCTATAAACTACCTCATCCAATAATAGAAGAATATACATTCTTCCCAAGCTCACATGGAATACTCACCTAGACCATTCTGGGACATGAAACACATCTTTACAAATCTAAAAGAATAGAAATCATACAATGTCTGCTCTCAGGACCATAATGGAATACAACAAAATACAATAACATAGATGGAAAATCCCCAAACACTTGGTTATTAAACAATATATTTCTGAATAATACATGGGTCAGAGAATAAATCTCCAGAGACATTTAAAAATACTTGAACTGGGGCGCCTGGGTGGCGCAGTCAGTTAAGCGTCCGGCTTCAGCCAGGTCACGATCTCACGGTCCGTGAGTTCGAGCCCCGCGTCAGGCTCTGGGCTGATGGCTTGGAGCCTGGAGCCTGTTTCCGATTCTGTGTCTCCCTCTCTCTCTGCCCCTCCCCCGTTCATGCTCTGTCTCTCTCTGTCCCAAAAATAAATAAAAACGTTGAAAAAAAAATTTAAAAAAAAAATAAAAATACTTGAACTAAATGAAAATGAAAACACAACTTAAACTTTGTATGAGGACGTAAGAGCAATGCTTAGACGGAAATTTATAGCATTAAATATTATATGCATATATTAGAAAAGAAGAAACACCCAAAATCAATCACCTAAGCTTCCAACATAGGAAACTAGAAAAGGAAGAGAAGATTAAGTCCAAAGTTAACAGAAGAAAAAAAAAACATAGTAAAAATAAGAGCAGAAATCAATGAAATTGAAAATAGGAAATCAATTGAGAAAATCAATAAAACCAAAAGCTGATTATTTGAGATCAATAAATTCAGTAAGAAACACACACACACACACACACAAATCACTAATATCAGAAATGAAAAATGGGACATCACTACAGATCCCACGGACATTAAAAAAAAATAAAGAAATATTGTGTTCCATAACTATAAATTTGATAACCTGGATGAAATGGACCAATTCTATAAAAGACGTAATCTGTCAAAACTCACACAAGAAAAATCTATGAGGCCAGCATTACACTAATTCTAAAATCAGACAGATATTATAAGAAAACTACAGACCAATACCTCTTATGAACATAGATGCAAAATCTTTAGCCAAATATTGGCAAATAGAACCCAACAGTATATAAAAAGAATTATATGCCACAACCAAATAGGATTTATCCCAGATAGACAGGTTGGGTCAACATTAAAAAATCAGTTAATGTAATCCATCACATCAACAGGCTACAGACCAAAAAACAAAGTCATAAGATCATGTCAACAGACAGAGAAAGCATCTGACAAAATCTAACATCCAGTCATCATAAAACTTTTATAGTAAATTAGGGCAGAGGGGAACTTCAACTTGACAAAGAATATCTATAAAAAAAACCTACTGCTAACATGTTTACTGGTGTGAAACTATAAAGTTTCCATTTAGATGAAGAACAAGGCAAGGATGTCATCTCTCACCACTGCTTTTCAACACTGTACTGGAAGTCCTAGCTAATGCAGTAAGATACGGAAATAAAATGTATACAGATTGGGAAGGAATTGTTAAAAAGAAGACAACAGGCCCCAAATGGATTTACTTGAGCTAAACCCCTGTCACCAACCAAGACTTAATACTTAACCTAACTGCAAGTTCAACCTTCTTTAAGAATGTGATCTTAACCAGTCAGTCTGGAATTTCCTAGTCAGCACTAGTGAGGTAATTCACCCAATAGACTCCATTTACCTCCCTAAAAAAGGTGACCTTGCCTGAAATAATCCTTTCTTTTGTTTATGACTTCCTTGTCCCACCTCCTTTCTGCCTTTAAAAGCCTTTCCTTGGGTCACCTGGGTGGCTCAGTCAGTTGAGCCTCCAACTCTAGATTTCAGCTCAGGTCATGATCTCACGGTCAGTCATGAGATCTAGCCCCACACTGGGCTCTGTGCTGGGCATGAAGCCTGCTTAAGAATCTCTCCCTCCCTCTCCCCCTCAGCTCTTTCCCCACTTGTGTGGATACTCTAAATAAATGCATAAATACATACTTCTTTTATTTGCTAGATGGGATGCTGCCTGATTCATGAATCACTGAATAAAGTCAATTAGGTCATCAAATTTACTCAGTTGAATTTTTATTTTACAGAAGAAATAAAACTGTCTTGTTCACAGATGACATGATCATGTATGTAATGAAAATCCAAAAGAAGCGACAAAAATACTAAAACTAATAAGCAATAATGCAAGGTTGTAGAATACAAGGTTAATATACAAAAGTCAACTGCTTTCCTATATACTAACAATGAACAAATGGAAATGGAAATTAAAGACCTAATACTAATTACATGAATATCCCCCAAAACAAAATGTTTAGGTATAACAAAATAGGTACAAGATCTATATAAGGGAAACTATAAAACTCTGATGAAAGAAATCAAAAAAGAACTAAATAAATGGAGATAGTCCATGTTCATGGATATAAAGTCTCAATATGGTTAAAATATCAGTTCTTCTCAACTAGATCTATGATTCACTGCAATCCTAACCAAACTCTCAGCAAATATTGACAAACTAATTCTTAAGTTTACATGGAGCAACAAAAGACCAGCGATAGTCTACACAATATTGAAGAACAAAGCTGAAAGACTGACACCACATGACTTCAAGACTTACTATATAAAGCTAGAGTAATCAAGACAGCATGGTATTGGTGAAAGAACAATAGATCAGTGGAATAGAATAGAGAGCCCAGAAACAGATCCACATAAATACAATCAACTGATCTTTTTGTTTTATCTTATTTTAGAGAGAGAGAGCACATGAGCAGGGGAAAGGGGCAGAGAGAGAGAGAGAGAGAGAGAGAGAGAGAGAATCCTAAGTGGGCTCAACCAACATTCAGCATGGAGCCCAATGTGCGGCTTGATCCCACACCCTGGGATCACGACCTGAGCAGAAATGAAGAGTTGGATGCTCAACACACTGAACCACATAGGTGCCCCACACAGTGATCTTTGAAAAAGGAGCAAAGGCAATACAATGGAGAAAAAATAGTCTTTTCAAACAATGGTGCTGGAACAACTAGACATGCACATGCACAGAAATGAATCTAGACACAGACTTTACACCCTTTAAAAATTTAACCCCAGGGGCGCCTGGGTGGCGCAGTCGGTTAAGCGTCCGACTTCAGCCAGGTCACGATCTCGCGGTCCGTGAGTTCGAGCCCCGCGTCGGGCTCTGGGCTGATGGCTCAGAGCCTGGAGCCTGTTTCCGATTCTGTGTCTCCCTCTCTCTCTGCCCCTCCCCCGTTCATGCTCTGTCTCTCTCTGTCCCCAAAATAAATAAACGTTGAAAAATTTAACCCCAAATGGGTCACAGACCTGAATACAAAACACAAAACTAAAATTCCTAGAAAATAACGTAAGATAAAACCTAGATGACCTTGGGCTTTGTGATGACTTTTTAGATACAACACTAAGACACAGTCAAGGAAAGAAATGGTTGATAAGCTGGACTTTATTAGAATTAAAATATCGGTCTATGAAAGACAGTGTTGAGAGAATGAAAAGACAAGCCACAGACTGGGAAAAAACAATTCCATTTTTTTTAAGCGTTCATTTATTTTTCAGACAGAGCACTGTACAAACTGGGAGGCAGAATGACAGGGAGACAGAGGATCCAAAGCATGTTCTGGGCTGACAACAGACAGCCTGATGCAGGGCTCAAACTCACAAACTGTGAGATCATGATCTGAGCCAAAGTCAGATGCTTAACTAACTGAGCCACCCAGGCACCCCTGGGAGAAAAATTTCAAAAGACACACCTGATAAAGAACCATTACCCAAAATATACAAAGAACACTTTTTTTAAAATCCAAGTTAGTTAACACATTGGGTAATAATGATTTCAGGAATAGAATTCAGCGATTCATCACTTACATATAACACCCAGTGATCATCCCAACAAGTGCCCTCCTTAATGCCCATCACCCATTTAGGCCATCGCCTCAACCTGCCAGCAACCCTCAATTTGTTCTCTATATTTAAGAGTCTCTTATGGTTTGTTTCCCTCTCTGTTTTTTATTTTTATTTTTTTAACGTTTATTTATTTTTGAGACAGAGAGAGACAGAGCATGAACGGGGGAGGGTCAGAGAGAGGGAGACACAGAATCTAAAGCAGGTTCCAGGCTCTGAGCTGTCAGCACAGAGCCCGACGCGGGGCTCGAACTCACAAACCGTGAGATCATGACCTGAGCCAAAGTCGGCCACTTAACCGACTGAGCCACCCAGGCGCCCCTCCCTCTCTGTTTTTATCTTACTTTTGCTTCCCTTCCCCTATGGTCACCTGTTTTGTTGTTTCTTAAATTCCACATATGAGTGAAATCATATGATATTTGACTTTCTCTGACTTATTTCGCTTAGCACAATATCTCTAATTCTATCCATGTTGTTGCAAATGGCAAGATTTCGTTCGTTTGGATCCCAAATAATATTCCATTGTATAGAAATATATACCATGTCTTCTTTATCCATTCTTCAGCCGATGGACATTTGGGCTCTTTCCATACTTTGGCTATTGCTGACAGTGTTGCTATAAACATTGGGGTGCAGGTGCCCCTTCGAATCAGCATGTTTGTATCCTTTGGATAAATACCTAGTAGTGCAATTGCTGGGTTTTAGGGTAGTTCTATTTTTAATTTTTGAGGAACGTCTATACTGTTTTGCAAAGTGGCTGCACCAGTTTGCATTCCCACCAGGAGTGCAAAATGGTTTCTCTTTCTCCTCATCCTTGCCAATATCTGTTGTTGTCTGAGTTGTTAATTTTAGCCATTCTAGCAGGTATGAGATGGTATCTCATTGTGGTTTTGATTTGTGTTTCCATGATGATGGGTGACGTTGAGCATCTTTCCATGTGTCTGTCTGTTAGCCACCTGGATGTCTTCTTTGGAAAAATGTCTATTCCTGTCTTTTGCCCATTTCTTCACTGGATTATTTGTTTTTTGGGTGTTGAGTTTGAAAAGTTTTTTATACATTTTGGATATTAACCCTTTATCTGATATGTCATTTGCCACTATCTTCCTATCTTCTCTCATTCCATCAGTTGCCTTTTAGTTTGGTGATTGTTTCCTT